AAAGCCCAGCCATTGAGATAAGAACAGTTTAACAATGGAAATAAAGTAAATAATAATAATAATAATAATGTAAATACTAAAAATAAAAAAATAAATAGAAGAGGAGGGGATAAAACCCAAGAAAGGCAAGTGATGCACAATACAATTGTTCACCACCCACTGACTGATGCTCAGCTTGTCCCAAGCAGCGATTGGTCCCTTTGGGCCAACTCCCCTGTTTCTGTACTGAGTGTGATGTTCTATGGAATACCCCTTGGGCTGGTTCGGGTCAGCTGGCCTGTCTCTGCTCCCTCACAGCTCATTGTGCCCCTCCTCACTGGCAGAGCATGAGAGACTGAAAAGTCCCTGAATCAGGGTAAGCATTACTTAGCAACAATTAAACATCAGTGTGTTATCAGCATTGTTCTTACACTAAATCCAAAACACAGCACTGCACCAGCTACTAGGAAGAAAATTAACTCTATCCCAGCTGAATCCAGGACAGTCCCTCGCTCCCTTCTCCAGTGCACGGTGATGCAGTGACTGAAGCCAGGGGTCAGGGCAACCATGGGGTCAGCATCCCTGAGCGCCTGGCAAGGAGCAGGAAGTTTAAGTAACCCATCCTGCAGGGACAAGTTCTGCAGCCAGCAGCAAGGCTGCTCCAGGAGAGAGCCAGGAGGAAGCTGGAAGAGTGGCTGTCACAGGTGGATGGCACAGGGCAGTGCTGCCCACCGAGCTCTCAGATATGCAAAAGGTTTGTCCTGTTTTCTCCAGCCTCCCTGAGACTAGCCCTGTTTTGAGCTTGACACAGCAGCTATGGCTTGGCCCCACATAAAGCCCAAAGACAACACATGCTGGGGACTGCTCCCCAAGACCAGCTGGAATTTGGCCACCCTGTTTTTCAGGGAAATAAAATACATCTGAGTGGGTTTGTTGATCCATCCAGCATTCACTGCTGCTCTTTCGGGACAGTGACTGGTCCCCGGTGTGTTCTGTTTGCTAATAAGGGCACAGCCAGCCGTCACTAAGCCACTGCCACTCGCAGCATATCCTCAGAAGGATATGCTGGAGGCATGGTGGCACGGTAGAGGCACGGGTGGGATATCCTGCACGGGCCCTGGGAGCAGCTCTTGACACAGTGGTGCAGGTGCCACCACCCTGCCTGCCTGCCCTTGCAGCAGGCAGGGTCTCGCCTGCTTCCCTGCCCCGGCTGGGAGGATGCCCTGTGTCATACAGGAGATCCCTGGGAATCTGGGGAGGAAAAGGAAGGCCCTCTGCAAGCTGACCCTGCATAAAAACTGCCCTATAAGGGAAGACAAGAGGCTGCCAACCTGGTCCCTTCATACCCATCTCATCTGTCTGAGTTTCCCCCAGCTCTGCATGTTTCTCCTTTCCTCCTTCTGTCAGCTGCTCTCAGTGCTGGGCTGTCCTGCTCATCTTTCTCCATTTATCCTGGCCCACCCCAAACTGGCAGCTCATGTGTTATTTAAACTTGTTTGTGTCTTTGCTTTTTTAAACTCTGCAAGGGTAATTCATTAAGACATCTGAACTTTTTGGGAGTTTCAGTCTAGAGATCCTCCCCAGTACAGAGAGCCCCTCTCAGACAGCACCTTTTTTCCAGGGATGGGCCGACTGCCATGGGAAGAGCCTCCAGAATGCTCCAAGTTCTCTTCCAAGCAACATCACCAGTTTGGACCTCTCCTTCAACTCCTTGGTCATGCCCCATCACAGGACTCTTTTGATGCATTTTCCTTCCCTGCATACCCTCAACCTCTCTAGCAATGCCTTGCTGGTTCTGAGTCCAGCAGCCTTCTCCAACCTCAGGGCACTGCGTCTGCTGGACCTGAGTAGTTGCAGCATTGCGTACCTCCACATGGACGCTTTCAAGGGTTTGGGAAACTTGCACACTCTGCTCCTAAGAAGCAACAGTCTGCAAGAGCTTGAGGTCTCTTTGTTCCTGCCACTGAAGGCACTTTTCCACCTGGACCTGCAGCAGAATGCGCTGGTCTCTGTGGACATGTGGAGCCTGCAGCTGATGGACACAGTCCCGCAGGTCCGGCTGGAAGGGAATCCCTGGCTCTGTGACTGCAGTGCGCACCCTCTGCAGCAGTGGCTGCGGCGCAGGCAAGGTGGGCACACAGGGACAGGTGGCATGAGAGCTGCTGGGCAGGAGGAACTCTGGGTGCAGGGGTGACACTCAATCCTTTTGCTCCAACCCCTGGACAGGCTCCCCTGGGACCTCTCCCACTCTGTTGAGGGATGGTGAACTGGAAGGTGACGTGTCTCTACTTGCTTGCAGTTACACATGATACCAAAGTTTTCTAGGAATGACAGCAGGATAATTTAGCCACTCCCTGGGAAAGGGGCTGCATGTATGCTTCAGCCCCCAAATTCACCTGTATGTATCCACATGGAGTGATACATGTGAATTTTCAAGAGGTGTTGAGCACTTGGCAACTCCTTCTGTGGAGCCAGGTCAGGCTCCAATCCTCTTGAGCTTCTCTCCCAGGAAAGAGAGTGAGTGTTTCTCACTGCGAGCATGGGGTTTCTAACATTATTCATGAATTTGGCATAATCCAGTAAAAGAAGCCTGCTAATCACCGTCACACACTCACACAGATCCTTGGTCAGGGAATTTTTCCTTTAGTTGTGCCTTACAATGTGCTGAGGGCCAGAGAAGCTGGAGGTCACAGCCAGGAGCCAGCAGGGATCATCTTCTCTAAACTGGGCAGGGGACGGGATAAGATCTCCTGTCCTACCTTAGCCTGTGTGTCTCCCAGCTGTGCAGGTGACCTGCGCATCACCCCCATGGCTGCGGGGCCGGGAGCTCACAGCACTGGATTCCCAGGACTTGGGCTGCTGGGTGAAGCAGCGGTTTTCTCGGGAGGTCAGCACGGTGCAGCAGATCACAGTGACCTACAGCAACAGTAAGTTGTGCAGCTACAAAGGCGTCCATAAGGTCTATCTCCCTCCTGCCTTCCATCACCCCAGAGGGGAATACAGGCAGGGACTTCCTGCTCTGCCCCTGGTCCCAGTGGCTCAGGCTGGCTGGCCACTGATGATGCAGTGGTTTGGTGGGCAAGGTGGCCACCTCCTGGAGGTGTTTGCTGGCTTTGCAACAGAAAAGTTAGCAGATGCCACAAAGCCACACAGTGTAGACTCCACAGTGGTGGGCACTGGTATCAGACAGCCATCCATCAGTTTTTCCCACAGTGTTCACACACCTTTGGTAGCTAGCTCTTGGTGAAGAGCATTTATACTGCTCCTCAACCCTGTGCTGGCTGCTGAGGAGCGCTGGGTATGCCCAGGCTGACCTGCCATGCCCTGACATGCTCTTTCTGCACCGCAGCCACTGCCCCACCCACTGGGAAAGGGGGAAGGAGCTGGCCGTACCTGGTGGGCTTCCTGGTGGCAGCAATTGGCATCTCCATCCTGATCGCGCTGGTTGCCAAGTGCAAGGTGTTCCACAAGAACTTCACCAGCTACCACCACCGGCCACTGCCCGAAACCAGCTCGATTGGAGGCAGCCCCATGGAGGACAGCAGCAGCTGGGACAGGAGCTCCTCAGGCCAGGGGGCCTGTGAGAACCACCCCATGCCTGGTCCTGCTGACCTGCAAGGTGAGGATGATGATGGCTTCATTGAGGACAACTATATTCAGCCAAGTGAGCAGGTGCCGGAGGAAGAGGAGCGGCAGTTGCACCTCTCCATATGAGCCTGCAGCCCCTCACTGTCACCCCTCCCTCCATCCCCTTCCTACCCCTTCCCACCTTCCATCAGCATTTAGCCCCATGTGGTTGGGGGCAGGAGGAAAGGAGTGGAGAGGAGGGGAGAGAAAGGGTGGGCTGGGAATGGTGATGGAGGATGAAGGTAGTCAGCCCCAGCATGATGCCAGTGGGGCTGCAACAGCACAGGGACACTGGACCTGCTCTTTGTCTCCCAGCCCTGTTCGGATGCTGAGGATGAAGGACATGGTGCTTGTTGCACTCAGGCAGCCTGGTTGGGTGGGAACATTAGCCTGCCCTGGTGCTCCCTGTGGGGTCTTGGGCACCAGCCTTGCTGCCCCATGGTGCCATACACAGCCCTACTCTGTCCTTCAATGTGTTGTCACTCCTGGGTGTGATTAAAAGTGTGATTAAAGCCTCTGTCTGTGATGGTTTATTGGAGCTCTCCTGGTGACAGTGCTGTGAGGGGACCCCTCAGTCCACAGCTAAGGTGAGGATTCTTCTGCATGTGCTTTCAAGGACCACAAATGCGTTCCACGTTAACTGTAGTAGTGAGAGAATAGGTGTGTGGCATGAATGCTCTTGTGCACACAGATCTGTCACCCGCTGTGGTGCAGGCAGATGTTTCTTCATTGCAGGGCTTCTCTGCACATCTTTATAGTGCTGCTTCCCAACCCTCTTGCTGCTTTACAGCACATCCCTTCCCTCTTTTCTCTCATGGCTCTCCTGCAAGACACGCTAGGAAAGCACTTACCTTCCCCATGCCAGCTCTGCAGAGCTGAGCAAACTTGTTGGCAGCTTGCGGCGTCAGGCAGGCACGTGCACTGGGGCGAGACAGCCCTGTCCCCTGGCACCCATTACAGCGTCCCATCTGTATCTCTAAGCATGGATTTATATGAACATTATAATTTTTGCATTCCTGTCATCTTTGTGGCACGATAAACAGCACATGAGACAGAGGTAACTGCGAGTTACGACCCAGCCGGTCATGTCTGTGTGGGTCACACTGGAGTTAAAAGCAGGGAGCAGCAGCAGAGTTCACCCTCCTTAGTAAAATGATTCACAAGGCTGGTACCATCTCTCTGAGAAGAATTCCTGGTCATTCCTGTCCCCAGTAGCCTGGAAATCTCTCTGTCTTGCTCCAGAGCATGAAACATTATCATAGGGACAGTATTTCTTGAAGCCCTGCCACACGGCTAATACCCCCATCTCCTTCAAACCTCTGTTTCACTGTAAACTGCCTTTCTATTTCTCTGGTCATTAAGGTATTTATAGAGCACAGTGTATACAGAAGTAAATAATACACGTCAGAGAATGTAAACCAAAGGAGACAACTAGGTCGGGCGTTGCATGGGCAATACAGGCCAGTGACTTAAAGCACTTTCCAGAGAGGGAACGTGCCATTATAGCCACGAGGAGGAAAACCTGCTGGTTTGTTTCAGTGGTCATCCAGTTTTGGCTCTTAAAGAGTGTATTTCTAATCTGAGATTTACTTTTGCAGTCACTGCCTCATGTTTTGCCTTCTGGACTCATCTTAACAGCTCCCTGTGAATTACAGCACACACTGTATATGTATGTAATATATGCTGTAATTTTTTGAAATTATGGGTCGCTTTGAGGTAAAATAGGATACTTAAATCTGAGGGCTGGCAAAATGCATTTCAGTTATCTTCTGAAGGGCAATTTCTGGGCTTTTCAACATGCTTTTCAATCACATGAACTCACTCTACACTCAGTATTTTACTTTTGGTCTCAGCGATGTCTTAAAAGAGATTAGAAATACAAGTGCCCAGGCTTATTTATCCAGGATCTCGCTCACTCTCGTCCCTCAGTGCTCAGTGGTGGGTTGCTTGTGTACTTTGACCCTGTTTTCCTGGTGTGCGGGGGACCATGGCAGCCCCTCTGCCCCCTCTCCAGGCAGCTCCAGTGCTAGTGGGTAGGAGCTTGTCAGCTCAGTGGTGGGAATAGCATCTGGCACGTGGAGCTGGGAATACAAGGGGGTCACAGCAGAAGAGGAGCCTTCTCAAGGGGGTCCCCCCAGGAAGCAGCCAGAGGACCCTGCGGTTGAGGCTGGTGGATGGGAGCAGTGGTAGGTATGCAGGCAGACTGGTTCCAGGCACACTGCAGGCAGTAGCTGCTGCTATGAGCCTTGAGGCTTGGCCTCACCACAGGGTGAAACAGCTTCTCTGTAAGCAAACAGGTTGGCATGGACATCATCAGGAGGCTTTGCGTGCTCCATGTGAGCATCTTTCAGAGGCATGGCAAGATCTTGTATTTACAGAGTGGTGGTAAGGGGGACCAGCTGTCTAGGTCCTTAAGCAGAAGGAGAGGCATGTGCAAGATGTGTATTAGGAAATAAGTATATGCATTTGGAGGCTGTGGGGGCATTGCCACACTAGCTGGTAAACCAAAACCACAGCTGCAGGAGGGACCCTGGGCTGTCATGGTTTTTGCCCTGGGCTCTGTGTGAGCAGAGGCCAGCTTTGCATAGCTCTGCCACCTCCAGCTCTGCAGAGAGGCCGACGCTCAAGCATCAGCCTTCAACACAGTTGATTTCTGTAAAACTTTATTAAGTATTTCCACACACAACACAGGAACCAAGAAAGGAGCAGACCAGTACCGCTGCTGCAGAGGGAGACTGTGACTGGGGCAGCTCAGGCTGTCCCTCTGGGCAGCCAGACACCCAAAGTGCTGTCTTCAGGAACAGTCTGTTCCCAGCCAGTATCTCCTCATGCTGCTGTCGTGGCCCACAGGCATCCTTTCCTGGCACAGTTCATGGGCACTTGGGGCACGTTTTGAAGGGGCTATCGAGGGGAGGATTCACATTAGAATGCGGGCAGCGTGGACCTGTGAGCTGGGCACAGTCACGCACCTTCTCAGAAATACCCAGATGTGCAAAACAGCTGGTGTGCAGGCAGCTGTGGGCTGTCCATGTGTGCAGGTTGGGGGAGCTGGGAGTAAAAAGCACTGATGCAGGCAGAGATGGTGCAGCCTGGTGTAACTGCACATGCACTGATGCAGAAGTGCAGAGCAGCAGCAATGGTGATGGTGCAAAACTGTCCAGGTCTGGCCTGTCCCTCCCTGTGTAGGCACAGGGGTCCCTGCTGGACCTGGGGTGAAAGAGCCTGGAGGGGAAGGATGGCTGTTTGCTTTGCTGAGGATTTAGCACAGAAGGACCTGAGCTTAGTAACACCCTTCTTTGAATCTTGGGCAGATTAAGAGAAATGATGCAGAGAGAGGAGGAAACAGCAATTTAATAAAATCTATGGATGATATGAAAGTGGCAGAGGAAAACGTAGAAATAACAGAGGTCCAGAAAGAGAAGCCAAAATGCTGCACCCATACTTCGGGAAAAACAATCCAGGGCTGCAGGTGTAGGAAAGGCAGCAGGAGCAGGGCAAGGGCAGATGAATATAGAAGTGCCCTCATGCAATCAAGTGCATTGGGGATGGTGTGGTCTAGAGCTGGGATGAAGCCTTCATTGTCCAGCATATACCTGGTGGGGTTCACTGATGCTGAACCCTGACACTGCCTCCAGGTGTAGGTGTAGCATGGACAGTGATTCATGCTGTTACTAAAGGAATGAGCTACCACCTTCTTCCAAATAAATTTGCTATTAGACACCAAAAAATAATAGCTCAGTCTTGTTCCATTACAGAGAGAACTTTGCAAATAATGAGCAAGAATAATGGCTGGAGCAGAGCAGCTCAGGTGAGGGGGGAGACAGGAGCAGACAGGAAGATGAAGATGAAAAGGTTTCACAGGAGCAGCTTCGCTAGGAGGTTAGGATCTGTGATTATGGAAAGGGCAGTGAAATGGTTTGTGGGTCTTTGGAGGAAGTGAGAATTTTGACAGGTAAATTAGCCTAAAGTCACAGCAAAAGCTTCCAGGGGTGAGTTGTTAGTCTGCCTCTGGGAAAGACGCTTTGGTGATAGACACCTTGTAGAGATAAAACACCAAAAAAGCTCCAGATAAAGACCAAGTGCTAGCAGAAGAACTTTTCCACCCTGCAGCTGCAGCAGCACTTGAGAGACAGAACCAGGGAATGCACAGGGACTGTGATGAGCTGCAGTGTTCCCACAGCAGCAGGGATGCCTCTGCTTGGGAAACTCCCCTCTGAGGCTAACAGCTTTCTGCCCTTGCACTGCCCTTGCAGAGCATGAGCCCAGCCCTGGGATTTGGGCATCCCATCACCATCCCCCAGTGACTGCACCTTGCTGTTTGTGGCTTGCGTGGCTGAAGCACGCTGGCATTGATAGCAGAGCCCCAACACAGAGTTCAGCACTGATACTTGTCAGGGCCCTGACTCCAGTACCCTTTGATCACCCATTTGATAAACCACAGAAAGTGATGGGCTGCAGACATGTAATATTGGAATGGATCCTGGCATTGCAAACACAAACAACATTTCATGTGAGGTCCAGCCATGCTGGGGCTCTGGCACATGGAATCCAATGCAATTCCCACACTCACTCCAACAGACACACAAGTGCTTTCTCAGGAGTGGCCCCTTCAGCCTTGCCTCCCACCAACCTCCCTTCACTTTCGCTGCATGTCTGCTGACATGCAGAGTGTTTCCTGCCATTCATCAGCTGCTATAGGCTCTACTTTGCTCAGGAGCTGGCAGCTCTGCACAACGCACAGGGTAGTTTCATACCACCCTTCATCACAGCTTCCCCTGCCAGGAGAGCGCACAACAGTTCCAGGAACTGCAGGAACCAAGCAAGTACTGGAGTCTCCAGGGGTATGGAACAGGCTCACCTTAACACTGTGACATGCATCACCGCTGGGCAGGCAGCAGCTGTTGCAGGAGGCTTTGTGGGGATACAGCACCAACCAGGCCAGTGCTGAGATCCTCATGTGCCAGGTCAGAGCCTGTCCAGGTGACCCAGGTCCTTGCCATCAGCATGGGACAAAGCAAATGCCAGTCATCTCCAAAAGAAGTATAAGGCACACGGTAACACTCTCCTTTCCTTCAGGAAAGGCTGGC